ACCCCCCCGCCCCGGAGATGCCGTGCGGTGGCCAGGATGCCCAGGGCTCTTCCCTCGACCTAGCTGCCGACCGCCTCTGGGGAAGCGGCTGCAGAGCCCTGCATGGGAGCAGGAAGCCTCTGAACCCCAGCACTTCAAGGAACAGGGGCAACCCTCCAGGGAGAGGTTGGCCCTATGGGGGGGCCGGGTCCCAGCTGTGCAGAGGAGTGATGGATGGGAGTGGAGGGTGGAGTTTTGCTCCGGGGTGGGGTGAGCGCCCCCATCGCTGTACAGGCTGCCCATCGAGGCGGGGGATGTTCCATATGGGAGCAGGAAGCCTCTGAACCCCAGCACTTCAAGGAACAGGGGCAACCCTCCAGGGAGAGGTTGGCCCTATGGGGGGGCCGGGTCCCAGCTGTGCAGAGGAGTGATGGATGGGAGTGGAGGGTGGAGTTTTGCTCCGGGGTGGGGTGAGCGCCCCCATCGCTGTACAGGCTGCCCATCGAGGCGGGGGATGTTCCATGGGGATCTCGCTCTTCGCCTTGGGCTGCTGACAAGGGTCCCCAGCCCTGTGCGCCAGGAGCCAGGCCTTGGCCCAGCCAAAGCCGTGCCCCGTGAAGTGACGAGGCCGCCTCTCGCTGCCTGGGGTCACGGGGGAGCCAGGGCCGGGGGGCATCTCTGCTCCGGTCCCATCCCTCCTCCGACAAAGCTGGGAACAAAGAACTTTTCTCTCTCTCGTCCCCTTCCTTCCTTCCTTCCTTCCGTGCAGACTGGGAGGGGGAGGGGGCCACCACGCTGTAATTGATCCATTTCCAAACCAGAGTGCCAGGTGCTTGCTCTCCGCTCCCGGCGGCTGAGTGCAAGGCAAGGCAGGGGATGGCAGGCCCCGCACAAAGGGAAACACAAAGGGGCTTTCTGTCCGGCCACAAGGAGCGCAGGTTGCAAACTTTGAGCAGGAGGTGGGAGTCGTTCTGCTGACGGGGAAGGGGAGGTGGGCACAGGCTGAGCGGGTCAATATGCACAGACACTTGGAGGAGGATGCGTAGCTCACAGGGGACACCTAGCGGTGGAACGTCCGCAAAGCCCTTTCCCTGGCTTGGGCTGCCTGGTGCTCAGCCTTGGGCAGGGGCAGGAGGCTGATGGAGCAGGCTGGCAAATGTACGCAAGGTCCTTGGTCTGGGGAGCAGGTGTGCAAAGTCCAGAGGCAGCATCCCAGATGCACAGACACTTGGAGGAGGATGCGTAGCTCACAGGGGACACCTAGCGGTGGAACGTCCGCAAAGCCCTTTCCCTGGCTTGGGCTGCCTGGTGCTCAGCCTTGGGCAGGGGCAGGAGGCTGATGGAGCAGGCTGGCAAATGTACGCAAGGTCCTTGGTCTGGGGAGCAGGTGTGCAAAGTCCAGAGGCAGCATCCCAGCCCATGGGGCAGGTGGCAAAGGCTGGGGCCGAACCCCAGCCTAAGGTACTGGCGTATGAGGCCCAGGGCAGACCCCTCGGCCCCTAGCTCAGGTGTGCGAGGCCCGGGGCAGACCCGGTGGGAGGCTCTGGGCAGACCCCTCGGCCCCTAGCTCAGGTGTGCGAGGCCCGGGGCAGACCCGTCAGCCCCTAGCTCAGGTGTGCGAGGCCCTGGGCAGATCCAGACACAGGTCTGTTTCATTATTGGTGTTTTAAGAGAGCGCACGGAGCCCCAGCCCCCTGCTTCTGCGTCCGCGTTGCCCTGCTGGGTTGCAGCAGAAGGGCGCGACCCCCGTGGGGGCCAGCCAGGGGTCAGCCTGAGACCGAACTGCTGGCGTCGAATGACAGGCTTAGCCACACACCTTCAGCCCTTGTCTCAAGCTTTGGGCCAAATCCAGCCCTGCCGGAAGCACATGCCGCTCCCGCGGGTTTCCCTGTGTGCAGTGCCCACCATGGAATCTTGCTGTGCCCCGATACCACAGTGACGGGCACATTAGAAATCTACAGACCATGCCAGCCTTGGGGGAGCTCAGAGGGTATGTCTACACTACCCTGCTAGTTCGAACTAGCGGGGTAATGTAGGCATACCGCACTTGCAAATGAAGCCCGGGATTTGAATTTCCCGGGCTTCATTTGCATAAACTGGGCGCCGCCATTCTTAAATCCCTGCTCGTTCGAACCCTGTGCAGCGCGGCTACACGCCGCACGAACTAGGTAGTTTGAACTAGGCTTCCTAGTTCGAACTACCGTTACTCCTCGTGAGGGTTTTAAAAATGGCGGCTCCCCACTTATGCAAATGAAGCCCGGGAAATTCAAATCCCGGGCTTCATTTGCAAGTGCGGTATGCCTACATTACCCCGCTAGTTCGAACTAGGAGGGTAGTGTAGACATACCCTTGGTGCGGAATAAATGGCTTATGTGCCCTGAGGCAGGGGCGGATGTGCACCATCAATAGAAACACAAACCCTGCTGTGAGGGCGCTGCTAATCCGCTGGGCAGCACTGGCATCTCTCCTCAGCGGCCGCACAAGTGCCCAGAGGTATGTCTACACTGCCACCCTAGTTCGAACTAGGGTGACAGTATAGACATACCCCAGCTGACAGCCGTGGTGGGCAGCCTGTGGCCCATCCGGATTTTATGTGTGGCCCACCAGACGTTTTGGTTGCCGGATTCTGCTGGTTTCCGTCCGTGTCGTCCGGGACGACTAACATGACGCATACGTAAAGCCGGGCCACGGGAAGCGAGGTGCGTGCTGATGGCACCCCGCTCTGAGCACGAGCGCCGGGCGCTCCTGCCGCCGATCCCGGCGCTGCTACGTTCAGTCTATTCTAGGGTGGCTAGAACTACCCCATCCGGGGAGACCAGCTTGGCTACGACAATCCTGCAGCCCACGGAGACGGAGGAGGGCCCCTCACCGGGCCCGCTCCCCGGCCTAGGCTGCCCATCGCGGGTGGACAGGGAACACTGGGGCAGGTGCCGACCGGGGGCTGGGCTCCCTGAGCATGATCTAAGTGCCAGGCTGGGTAGGGAAGGCCCCGCTCTCCAGGCTAAACGCCTCTTCTCTTCCCTTTGCAGAGAGCTCAAGTGTAACAGCCGGAGCAGCAAGGCTGAGGGTAAGTGTCATTCCCGTGGGCCCGGAGCCTTTCGCCCGGCTCAGGCCCTGCACGGGGAGCTGGGAGGAGGGGGAGAATCTGAGGCCTTGGCCCCTGTTCCCCTACCCCCCTGGGCACGGCTTTCCCCAGGGAGCGGCAGGTACGACAGGCCCATGGGGGCTTTCTGGGCAGAGCCTGTACCAGGGCTGGGGCAGGGAGCTCTGAGGGTCGGGGGCCCAGGGATTCCTTGCACAGTGCTGTGGAATTGGGGAGGGGGTGGGGAAGGGGGTTGGCTAGGGGCATCGGCTGCAGCTCCTGTGTGGAGGGATGGTGGGGGCAGCATTGCGTTTGCCATTGGCAGTGGAAGATTTGCCCTCTGCATGTGTGGGGGAGGGCCAGCGCCCAACCTTTGGGGCCCAGGGCCAAAGCCGGGGCTCCCTGCCAGACCAGCATAGCAGCATTGCCCAGTGATCCCATCCTAGGGGAAACACCCGGGGGCAGAGGGAGGCCCTGTCTCACCCATACCTAGGGTGATGCTGACGATCAATGGGACCGTGGGGCCTGGGAGCCCGAAACCCAGGGGGTAGAAAACACGACTAGGAGGAAGAGCTGGGCTAGTTTGGCGTAGGGAGGCAGAGCTGGGCGGGAAGCAGGCGTCTCTGCAGACACGTCAGCGGTGCCTGTAAAGAGGCGGCTGGATGGATCGATCTCCACATCCGCCAGGGCGCAGGCCAGAAGAATGGGTTTTGTTTGCTGTCTGAGGGATCTAGCGCAGCTTGTGGGAGAAGCTTTCCAGCTCTCAGCCAGGAGGGGAGCAAGGGGGGCTCTGGAACAGGTTCCCTAGGCAGCTTGTGGAATCCGCACTGGGGAAGGGCTCTGGGAACAGGCTGGACAAGTGCCAGCAGAGGGTCTAGGTGAACTGGGTCCTGTCTCTTCCAGCCATCGCCAGGCAGCCTCACTGGGCCACTTTATAGAGCAGGGCTGGGGAACCTACGGCCTAGGGGCCACATGCAGCCCCCGGCTTGCCTGGGTCCAGCCCCTCTGCACTGGGGAGCCTGTGCTGCTGTTCCAGCCTCCCTGCCGTGCTCCATGGGGCTGGAGCACCCAAACTCTACTAGCCTGGGCCCCCCGAGGCTCTGGAGTGCGAGGGGAATGTGGCGAGTGTCTCTCGCTTCACTGCCCAACTTGCTTCTTGCTTGTGTGCGGCCCCCGGCTGATTTTTCTGTGGGTCAGCGGCCCCCGCCCAAAAGAGGTTCCCCACCCCTGCTCTAGAGCATTCCCCCCTCCCTTGGCAGCCGACTGGGTGCCCAACTAGCTGGCCCAGGCCTGCCCTGCGTCACGAGCCTGACTTTGCTTCTGTTTCAGGTCCATGCATCGGCTTCCCCGACACCCATGTCAGCAACTGCTCCACCAAGAGGCACCCTGGGGAGGAGGAGTTCAGGATGCGCGTGAAGCCCCCTGGCCCAGTGGTGACGTCTGGTGCCATCCGCAGCTCCCCTGACTACGTCCGCGAGGCTAAGTTCTACCAGACAGGGCATCCTGGGCAGAGGCCAGCAGCGTGCCCGGCAGAGAAGGCCTTATCCTGCAGCGTGCTGAGCTTCCCTGAGGGTTCGTGCCCAGCATTGGGCCGAGAGCACCAGTCTGGCTCGCTGCTCCATGGGGACCCGGCTGACCGGTGCCAGAGCCACCACACCCTGGGCACCACCAAGGGCGAGGACTTCTCATCGGCCAACCCTCTGGGCTGCGCCAGCGACCCCCACGTCCTGGGGGGGGGCCTGGATGAGACAGCCACCCACGACCGCGCCCCCAAGACCTTCTCCAATGCCACGCTGGCCTCCGGCCGCTGCAACGTCGCCAACATCGTCTCGCTGCTGAAGAGCAAGTGTGGCAACGGGAGGATCAACCTCCACCCGGTGGTGCAGCTAATTGACATCATGAAGGACCTCAACCGGCTCTCCGAGGACTTACGGAATAGCGGCCTCCACCTGGACTGTGGCAGCCTGCGGCTCAGCCATCCCCCGGCCTCTGGCGAGGAGAGCCGGCCGCTGGCCAGCGCCGGGGACCGAGATCTCCAGTACAGCTTCTTCTCCTCAGCCACCCTGGCCAACAGCATTCGCAGCCCGGAGGAGAGGGTGGCTCTGTACCATGCCAAACCCGAGCCGCCCAGGCAGACTCGCCCTGGCCCCTGTGAGGAGGAGATGGAGGGGGACAGGGAAAGCCCCCAGCAGCTGGGATGCCAAAGCGGCATTGCCCCGGCTTCAAAGCCACCCGGCAACCCAGAAGAAGCCAGCTGCTCCGAGCCAGATGCCACGGATTACTCGGAGCTGGCCGACGCAGACATACTGAGCGAACTGGCCTCCTTGGCCTGCCCGGGGGCCCCCTTGCTGGAGTCCCAGCCCCAGTTGCTATCAGCCCAGGAGCTGGATTCCCAGTCCCAGTTACTAGATCCTCAGACTCTTGAGTCCCAGGCTGGGCTGCTC